AAATTGTGCTGGTGGTATTTTCTGGTTAGGCTTACCAACAACCTGGCGTATATGGCATGATTTGCATTATTCTGTGACATCATTTCTAAGTCTGGGCCAGTAGAAATGCTGCAAGATCTTAAGACAAGTCTTCCTCATACCTAAATGTCCAGCGAAAGACCAAGAATTTTTTGCCTATAGACTTTAGGCACCACCAATTGGTATACCACTCTCCATTCCTCCTCTGGGATAGCATCAGGGGGCCTCCACTTCCTCATTAAAAGCCGTCTTGATGGTAATAGCATTCGGCCACTTTGTCTGCTTCCTCCTGTAGTTGAGCCCTCTTGCGGGGCTGAAGAACCTCAGGGCCTTTATTTTGTTCTTCCACTAACTTTCGTATGTCTAATGAATGACTGTACACGTCTGGCCATGGCATTATTACATGTTTGTTAGTACTAGGTGGTCTTTTTATGGCCTTTTCTGAGCCACAGGAACCGTCAATGTCGGCAAGGAAAGTGTCAGAAAGGTTCATATAATCATTCTGGCCTTCTAAATCCTCATTTTGTTGTTTGTCGCCCTAGTAACAACACAAGCTGGATACAGTTCAGCATCATCTTCAGGTGATTTAACATCCACCACCCGTTCACTAGTAACAATTGGTTCAGCAACCACTTTGTTCAAAGCTAGATCATTTCCTTGCAATAATGAATTCACCTCAATAGGGAAATTAGGACGAACACCCACAACAACTGGTCCAGTAGTTAAATCTGATGGAGGGGAACATCTATACAACCTAACTCCACACCTTGTAACAAAACGAAGGCACCAACGGAAGTCTCCTGCTCGGACAAAGGCAACACACCTTCTAACAACAAAGTCTGAGAAGCTCTAGTGTTCCGTAAAATCTTAATAGGCTAACAAACCCATCAGACATAAAGGGTTTATAATCATCCATGTTATCTCAAAAACTGGACTTAAAAGCCTGACTCGCCTATCTCTTTCATTCTTCCTCTGGAGTCTAAAACAATCAGCCATCAGGTGACCATTTTTCTTACAATAAGCACAAGTTAGTGACTTCTTCTCAAATGGATCAAATTTGGACTAGACATATTATTACTAGATTGACTCTTATTCTGTGCAACAGGCTTACTATCAGTACGCCCAGTACTTTGATTTTTATAATTTCCTCTCGAGGTATTAAAATGTAGACCTTTGAAACTTCTTTTATGTGAAAGGGTATAATTATCGGAAACAACAGCTGCATCTTGCAATGTCTCAACAGTTTTGTCATCCAAATGTGTTTTTAAGTCTAAATGAACACACTGCTTGAACTCTTCTAATAACATTACCTTCTTATTTTATCAAAATTGTTATCTATTTCTTTGACGTAAGCCATTTATCAATTACATCTTCTTTTTCCCTAGCAAATTCAAAATAGGTTTATGATTCAAACTTTTTATAAGACCTAAATTTCTGTCTATATGCTTCTGGCATTAGCTCATAAGCTTTCAAAACTTCCTGTTTTACCGTGTCATAATCAGAACTTTTTTCTGAAGAAAGTGCTGAGTAAATTTCAGCGGCCTTGCCCTGAAAAAGACTTTGTCATTGTTTCTTTAAAATATAATAACTTGTTCATGGATTGAAACTCATGATCTGTATTTGCTGAATTTTCTTTAGAATGCCTTTGGTATCTTTCGCCTTTTTTAAAACTAAATATTTTTGTTTAATTTATAAAGGAATAAGAACGATTTCACATCTTGTTCGTGAAAATCAAATTTAAGATAAGCGTTCATATAGTAAGTTTAGTTGTATATCATGATAACGAATTCATTACTGAAGATAAGGTCGATCTAGTTCATGTATGTATTGTTGTTTTCTAAATTTAAAGTTATACTTCATACATATTTCACATCCATTTTTTTATGGAAATATTCTTTATAAAGCACAAAAATGTCAGTATTCACCTCTGAAACTAACAAAACCTTTAAATAGACTTATTAAGAAGGGATATAGTTACGATACTGTTGTCAGGTCATTAAAGATTGCATATTTTGGCGTTAATATTGATTCACTTATAGGGTCTTTGCATCGGCACTAAACACATTTATTTAAAAACCAGTTGTTGGCATGACACGGGTTATGTTCTTCTCATATATGTTATGATGGTATGATACTAAACCCCTAACGGGAAGGATTGTGCCTGATATTCATATGATGAAGACATAATCTTTCAATCAGTTTAATTGAAGTCTGGAGCTGGCATGTCAGTTAACTGCTAGTAGTCTGTTGTTATTTATGTATTATTGTCATTTTGTTTATTTTCTTTGGTTACATCTTCTGACATCAGACTCGGACTTCTCTTGAACTGAATTTTAATGTGCGCATTGGCTAGAGGTATAGGGGGAGGGTTGAGATCTCATAAACATGTTTAACCCCGCCGCATTTTTGCGCCTGTCCCAAGTCAGGAGCCTCTAGCCTTTGTTAGTCTTGTATTATTTTTAATTTTAGTTTCTTGTGTACAATTTGGAGTTTAGTATGGCGTTCATTATCACTGAACTAGTATATATATTTGTTTAGGGGCCAGCTGAAGGACGCCTCCGGGTGCGGGAATTTCTCGCTGCATTGAAGACCTGTTGGTGGCCTTCTGCTGTTGTCTGTTCTGTGGTCGGGTTGTTGTCTCTTTGACACATTCCCCATTTCCATTCTCAATTTTATATACCATTTCTACGAGTTTCGTTATTTTACTATATGTACGTTTTATTTCCTTTTCTTTGATTTTCTTCAATGATTGTTGAATCTCCGGAATATAAAAGAATAATGTCAAGATCCAATGGTTATTCAATGTTAATATATGTTTGAATAAGATACTGAAGCTTACATATAGCATTCATTTGAAATGTCCAATTGCAATTCAAAGAATTATATTTATACTCTGCTTTTAATCTATGCCAGTGAAAATTGTCACGTAGAACCGTAACATACAACTTGAATTTACATTTATCCGAATTTTAACTATCTGTGTGTTCATTTTCAACTTTTCTTAATCTTTGAGGACAACCAACCAATCACAACTTAGTTGACAACATTTTTTTACAAAACAGAGACACGAAGTAAGAGTGAACAAGCGCTAAAACAAGTTAGATGTAAAGTAAACTTAGCATCTTAGCCAAGGGCAACAGTTACAAATGTATCATAGTGATTATACATAAATATTACTGTAAATAAATGGTGTCTATAGTCTTCTGATTTGGTGCGTCGTAGTTGTCCCTAAGACAGTATAATGGGAAATAAATAACGACATTATTTAAGTCAATGATTATGAATGTAAAACAGAAAAGACGCTGACAGATGATAGTAATGATTAAAAGTCGTTACTTTGGGCAGACACATCAAATAAGTAGTTGAATTTATGATAAATTGTTTGGATCATGATGACGTATAAAAACTGCGCCCAAAGTTGACCAACTTTTCAACTTAACTTTCTGAAAAAAGGACCAAAATATCACCCACTGTCGAAAATAACTTGGGAAGAGTGTCGTCAGGTTATTAAAGATGTTCTTTCAGCCTTTTGTAAAAAATGGTGTAAACGGGAGAAATCTGACAAAAAGTCACTTAATTCCTATTGGAATAAATGTCTGAATATTATTGATATTAGCATATCACATTTCGAAAATAATTTAGAAATGAATAAAAGAATAAGCAATACGCCCATTTCTAGGATTAAAAAATAAAATTCAAGTACTCACAAAGCGTTTTGTGTTCGTACCGGCCGACAAAGCGGCCAACAATGTGGTGGTGGTATGACATAAATACTACACGGAAGTCCTTAAGAATGAAATTGTACATTCAACTACATTCAAGGCCGCACGCTCTACGGAGAGATATATATAAAATAAGGTCTCTTCTGAACATTTGAAGGTCCCCACTATGTATTGGTTACCTTAACTACACAAAAAACCCGTAAAATATCGTTTCATCTCCGCCTCTAGTAATGTTCTACTACTAGAATTTCAGTGCTTTTAACGAGTTCCGTAACTACTATAAAAGAACTGATCATTCATTTTTGTAATAGAACATATGAAAATAGTGGTATTAACCATTTTTGGAGTGTAAAATATTCTTTGGATGTTTTAGATGAATTACGTGCTTTTGATGGTCCTTTTGATTCGGTTGACAGTTTTGACTTTTCCGATCTTTACACTACACTTTCACACAATCTTATCAAAGAAAAGTTGTCCTATTTGATCAAATACTCGTTCGATAAATCTAATAGCAAATTTATTTGCTGCAACTCACATAAAGCATTTTTCTCAAACGAGAAAGGTAAATATGCTAGATATACTTACTGGAGGTGTGATGAGATGATTACAGCCGTAAATTTTCTCCTTGAGAACATTTATGTTCGTTTCGGCAATAAAGTTTATCAACAGATTGTTGGTATTCCTATGGGCACCAATTGTGCTCATTTAATAACAGACTTGTTCCTGTACTGTTATGAATCACAGTTTATGGCCAAACTCAGTAAAGACCCGTCTAAATATTAGAATATATAAAGAAGTCTAATATTGAAAGTTTGCAAATACATGTACTAGTATATGAATACATTTGCGTTTATATTAACATCCAAAAGGGGAAAACTTCATAATTTCTTTTTTTGAAAAATCCAATGTTAACAATATGTTTCAATCCGTTTAACAGTCGAGAACATATTAACACGATAGACTGGTAAAGAAAGAGTGAAATAATTCTGACTATTCAAAGCCATGAAACGAATAATTTAATTGTCCAGAACCAGTAAATTTATAGGTACGGACATGATTTCAAAATTGAACAATTTTCAATTTTTAAATAATGTAACTGTACTTGATCTCCGTAATGCAAAAAGAAACTTTTAAATTATTAGATAAAATTATTTGTTGTGTTCGGTTCCATAGTAGTTTTGATATTTTTTTTTTATTTTTCCGAAATTATGCTTCGAAGATTAATATTTGTTTTTTTTTTAATTTTTTTATTGAAACTACAGTTTTAAAGTGATATTTTGAAGAAAATGACCATGCTGTCTACAGGTAAGATTTTTTTCTTATGTAAATTAGAATCAATTTATTAATTGCTTTTGATACTCAAAATCACATACATATATGTAAGAGGAAGTCCATAAAAATAAACTTCATTTGAACTTTGGTGGATAGTTGTCTCATTAGCAATCATACCACATCTCCTTATTTTTATAAAATCCAACGCTATCGATCAACGGAACAAGTGAAAAATAACTGCCATATTCCTGACTTGGTACTTGAATATTGACCATAAGTGATTCGATTTTATACCACTTCTGTTCCATTCCCTTTTCAAATGCCCTACCCTATCATATATAAATGAAGGGTCTGCGACACTAAAATAATTTTGCTAGATTAACGTTAACGCTACAGATTAAATAAAATTGAGAATGGAAACGGGGAATGCGTCAAAGAGACAACAACCCGACCAATGAGCAGAAAACAGCCGAAGGCCACCAATGGCTCTTCAACACAGCGAGAAAATCCCACACCCGGAGGCGGGCTTCAGCTGTCCCCTAAACAATAATGTATACTAGTTCAGCTAACGGCACTAAACTCCGAAACATATAAATGAACCAGAATTAAAAGAAACATACAAGACTAACAAAGACCAGAGGTTCCTGACTTGAGACAGGCGCAAAATGAGGCGGGGTTAAACATGTTTTGAGATAACTGAACCCTCCACCTATATCTCTAGCCAATGTGGAACAAACAAACACACATCAATACTTGTGAGATCTCCCCCCTCCCCTAATACTTCTAGCTAATGTGGAATAAACAAACACACAGAAATACAAACTTGTTTTTTTTCCAAAATTAAGGTAATGGCGAATAGTTACCCCAAATATACGACACATCATTTTAGATTCATATGTATATATATATATATATATATATATAAGTCTGAAAATTACACCCAACAGTGTTAGAATTAGATTTTTCTGCTGACAAATTTTTGTCCGTCCCTCAGCGGGATTCGAACTCACACCTTTGATACACTACAGCACCAATCGCTTAGCCTCATGTCCAGCGCTCTAGACCACTCGACCACATCCGCTATATAAAAAAATATAACTTCAATAGTCGTAGTGTTACCTTGTCACGGAAGGCGAATCTAGAGAATTTATATATACAAAATGTCAGCATAGCATTCTAAGCGGTAATCAAAATATATATTACGAATATAAAAATAAAATGAAACAATACAAAAAAAGAACTTCAGTGAATCGCATGATCTCCAAAACGGAAGGAGACCTGGGTGCACCCACAGTATAAGAATATCATTTTGTGCATGCACACCAAATTCAGACCAGATCTAGGAGTTCTGTTCTTCTATCAACACACTTAACGGTGAAATTGAACAAATAATAACAAAATTATTGACAACAGTAATAAATTTTACAGTGTAGCTCGAGGCAAAACATTTTGAAACCCAAAAACTTAATGCAAACGTTGAAAAGCCGATACAATCAAAAAGTACCTAAATCACAACCAAATCTGGACAAGGACTACATGACGTAAATGTAAACTAATGTACGACGTCCAAGAAAGAGCAAAACCCATTTCGCACAACACTCTATAAAATGCCAAGGCATGCAAAAAATGTGAACAAATGAAATGAGAAAACCAATGGCCTGATCTATTCAAAATTAATACTGGAGTATAGGCTTCATACGTTAACTTGGGCATGTTGGGACAGGCACATTAAGGATGTGGATGGATTAAGCTGGTTTGTAAGCGCTCAAATTTCCCCGTACTTGGAGCAGCAAATTGAAAGCACAACATAGGACCAAAGTTTCGAAATCATGTGGAAAGGGTTTGACTCATCAGATTTATACGAGGCACAAAACATCAATGCAACTAACAAAATAATTAAAGACTTAATTTACCAATCAAATATTTTTTCTTAACAGTTTCTAACAACTATTTCAAAGCCAATCACAATTGATAAGAATGAATAGTTTTCCTGAACTGAAATATAAATCACTAGACATCCGACGGATTGAGTTTAAAGACAGTTTACAGTGTCTGGTTATGGGACGACCATTTGATATTCTGAGGGGAGGGTGGCGGGGCAGTAGGATTTTATACGAATTGACTATTCATGTTCAACTGTTGCTACGCATGTTTGTATTTTCTATAGAAGTAAATAAACTGTACAGATAGATTGATATGTACCGATTAATGTCAATTAAGTTGTTAATGAAGTAAGGAAATAAGCCGATGTCTTTATTTTTCAGTTGGCGTTCCAATTCTGTTAATGTTTTATTTGTCATGTGTAGACGGTAAGTTTACAAACTGTTTGGCATTCTTATGAACATGAAACACTATTCTATAATCCCAACAAAATAAAAGATAATATCTTCACTAAATGACACGAATGCCGTAGAAAGTAATTAAATGAGAATGATTATTAGAATAGAGAATGGAAATATGGAATATGTCAAAGAGACAACAACCCGATCAAAGAGCAGAACACAGCCGGAATATCGAAATAAGAATTGTAAAAAGAGGAAATGTACAAAATACAACTTGAAGGCTGAAAAGAAGCATGTAATTGACATTTACTTCTCATTTCCACTTAGATGTTGGAGTTATGAATTAATCGGTCGACATATGCCATGTCACAAACATTTTTATTGTACATTTGAACGCATTGCACATCCAAAAAATCATAAGATTTCTTGAGAAAAATAATAATTCAAATTTATAGTTTTCTTACGCAGTTACTCCAGTTATGAATTTACTGATAATCCAGGGATTCTCATTTTTTTCCTTCTCTAGGTTGTGGTTAAAAATTTGTTAATACTAAACTTTATTATTTTATTAGTTGCTGATAGAAAAGGGGGAAAAATATACCAAAGGGGGTTAATCAAACACAAAAAGTTCGCAAAAAAGTTATCAAATTCAACAGACTTATAATTTAGTAAGCCAGATGCCCATTGTGTCACATAATTAGTTGGAAGTTTAAACAAGTTAAGGGAATGAATATAAGCAGACATATAACTAAAAAAATATTACCAAAGGAAAGCAGGACATACTTATGAATTTCCTATTTACAGCCATATTTATATAAACCATGTGTCAATGATTAAGTTACATGAGTCCAGGCATGTTTCAATAATTGAATACAATTTGTTCACAGGATTAACCTGTCTGTCGTGCAATAGTGTTGCTGATATCAATGACTGTCTGCAGACTCTCGCAACATGTCAAAATAGTAACGAGGTAACTATGTTAGTAATGCTGTGGTAATTAGCAATATAGTTTGATAACACAATTTAAGACAAAAAGTTAAAACGATTTCATTCGTTTCTTTCATATCCATCCCATTTAGGACCTTATTTCAAAAAAAGTTCTAATCTGATCTCGGCTACCAGAATTCTTGTAAAAAGAAAAAGTAAGAGACTTGTTCCGTGCTTTTTAAGAAATCTTGGGGGGGGGGGGGGGGAGACAGGATCAGCCCTATTTCCCCCTAGTGTCACGAGAAGCTCACTTCTCCCTTGTAGTAAAGTCTACGACGTCAGTTGGAAAATAAATAATTATCCATTTGAAAAAAAGATAATAACCTTGAAGTTCTTTTAATCAGTTTAGCGTTATCACAATATCATCGTATCAGTATACTGTCATTCAAAATCACATGATTGTTTACTGTATGTATGCATTAATCGCCATGCGAATCCATACTGAGCCAAAATATCACAAAATATATAGGAAATAAGACACAATCAGTTTATTAACACAGCAGACGAATCTTTGAAACTTCATAGTAAGATCGTGAAAACGTGTCCCTTGCGAGGAGATACACATGCAGTCTTATAACCCTGTTATAGCATTTTTTGTGGCAGGCGTAAACACATGTAAGCGAAGTCATCACAATGTGAACTTGCACGTGTGTTCGGTTTTTTTTAAGAATCGTAATTGCCGTATGTTGTTGCTGACAATTGGAAATCTGAAATACTCAAGTTTGTCATAGATCCTAGTTTTAAGTCGTCCATCTGTCCATGGAAGTAAAATGAGTCAATATAATACTTCCATGATCTGTGTTTATTAAAAAAAAAAGAAAAGAAAAGAAGATGAACGTAAACCTGAAGACCGCGACAGAAAGGTTTAGAGATAACTACTACACAAAATTTTAATGACCAAAAAGCGTTCATTCATTAAAGCTGCTTTTTACAGCACATTTTATGAAGCAAATATGTTTTAATTGTCAGGTGTGTTGCCTCATAGGTTCACTTATCCATAAGTGGTTTCGTTCTCTACTCCATAAAAGAAACTTCAAAATACCAATTAAGTACTTTAGACAGGCGTTCTGTCTATGTAAGACTCGCCAGTTTAAAATGGAGAAAGTTTCAATTTCCATCAACTGAAAATCAAAATGCACATACACCAAATGACATTGAACCAAAAGACAGCATCAGATTTGTTTTTTTACGGGAATTTAAAATGGAAGTTTAGTTTTATATTGAAAAAGAGGCAAAAGATACCATAGGGATATTCAAACTCATAAGTGGAAAATAAACTGACAACGCCATGGCTAAAAAAGAAAAAGACAACCAGAAAAACAATAGTACATGTAATACACAACATAGAAAACTAAAGACTGAGCAACACGAACCCCAACAAAAACTGGGGGTTATCCCAGGTGCTCCGGAAGGGTAAGGAGATCCTGCTTCACATGTGGCACCAGTCGTTTTGATCATGATTTTCTAATTCAACTTACCAATTGAAGGGCATTTTCTGAAAACGTTGATTCATAATTTTTAACGGTATATGTGAAAATGTTTATGTTTATATAATTTTATGTTAGGATACAAAAAAAAAATAATCTGTAAAAATGACGATATAGATTACTTTTAAAATTGTATATCAAGAGTTTGGCTGACCGTCGATAAATTTTGTATATTCTAGGAGTGTTATCTTGACAAAACAATTCTTCCGTCTCTCCAAGCTGTGTTTTCTGCCGGTTGCAGATCTAAAAAGGTAATGTACATGATGCAATATGTCATATTTGTGAACGAAATCAAATTCATTTTTTACCTTTTGCCCCTGCAAAAAAGCAATTCATAAACCGAAAAATGGTATAACATTGTTGTATAATATTCAAATGTATTATGAAAAAATGTCTCTTCGGTGATGCTCAATGACAATTTATTTGAAAAAAAAACCAAAACTTATAGAAACGCTGAAGAGCAATATAAAATCAAAAAGGACTAATTCAAACTAAAGTATAGCCAACTTACGATTTGTGCAACGATACTGTAGTGTTATTCTTTTCGCATTCTTTATTAAAAAAGCATAACAAAATAACTCCCACCCCTCAACACCAAAAATTAAATAAAAAAAATACTCATCTGCAATTTCTGCATAATATAGTACAATGTAATATACTGACTCATCAACTAATTTGTTAATCTAAGAAAACGTAATAATGTCATTGTGTATTCAATAATTTATATATTGTATTCAAAAATGATTTATGCAAATAGGTTTGCGATTTATTTGCTGCCGCAACAGGGAAAAGAGAAGTGTCAAGATCAAAGAGAACAAATGTTGCCTGCGCTCAGTGCTGTACGACAAGCTCAAATAATTCAACAGGAATACCGTGTAATGGCTATCTGTGTAACCAAAGTACGTACTTGCATCTCAACTAAATAAGTATATAGTCTATATACTTATTTATGCATTCATATTTATTTTGATAATGTTGACACACGATTTATTCAACTCGTTTACCTAGATTTGCGTACAGCGAGATCGCTATGTAAAATAAATGTCAACAAAGCACCATAGAAATAAATCAAAGGACACAAACGTTGTCAAGATGCTATAATAATTGGAACGCTGTCGGAATTACTTTGACTCTATTTCAGATTATTGTACTAAGTGGTGTAATAAATAATAAAAAAATAAAGTGATGAACTATGTTGACAAACGTATAAAATTATTATACTTCAGAGATAACATTGTAAAGTTTAAAAATCGAAGCTCACTGAACCTTAAATAAGATCAAAACTAAAAGATTGATTGATTGATTGGTTGGTGTTTAACGGCACTTTTAGCACTATTATACTATGCAGTTTTTATTGGGGGAGGAAGTCGGAGTGCCCAGAGAGAATCACCGACCTTCGGTAGGAAAACTGACAAAAAAGTTAGTCAATTATGGTTGGAGTCGAGTGTACCTGCCACGTTCAAAACTAAGATATTGAGATTATAAAATACACGTATATACCTTTATACGTTATACCATCTGATAAGGTGGCAAACGATGTTGTGTTTTTGTAAAGTAAGTATTTCATGGACGTCTCACGCAAGGTAAGGACGAGACATGATGAGATCCATTTTTTTCGCCCTTGAATTGCAAAAAGTAAATATTTTCAAGCCTTTCAAAATTCTATTGATACATATGCAGGTTGCTATAATTAAAGAACACTTCAGTGCAGAAAGGTCAATCGTGATGTCACTATGATGTCATAAACATGTTGAAATGAACATATTTGACTACTTTTGGACAAAATAGATATGAGCAACAGCATTATCCCATAAGATATTTTTTATAAATTAACATCTTTATGAAACTAGAGGCTCACAAGAGCCTGTGTCGCTCACCTGATTCTACTTTGGTTTTGGAAATCATGTAAAAATAGATTAAAAAGATAACAGATACCCTAATAATGATTGAGGCCAAATTTGGTTTAAAATTGACCCCGTAATTTAATCAAAAGCAGAAAGCTTTTGTAAAGTTTACAGAAATTACTATTGAATTTATAGAAAATGACTTTATAAGGACAATAACTCCAACAAGATGTCAATTGACAATTTTGCTAATGTTGACTTATGTGCAGATCTTCTTTTCTTGATATTTTTGCAGTTTACAGTATATCTCAATCTATAAAGATACATGTATTAAGGTCTTCATCAGCACATCATAAGGAACATTTAAGCCATGTTTGGTTTCATTCTATTCATAGAAGAAGCATTTGTATATATTTCCCATAGGGTCTTATGTTAAACTAAGTCCCCTGCTGGTGGCCATCTTGGATGATGGTTCGGCTTTGTAGCCACAACAACACTTAGTCAGCACCTCATTAGGAACATTCAAGCCATGTTTGGTTTCATTCTATTCAGTGGTTCTCTAGAAGAAAACATTTGTATGTATTTCCCATTGGGTCCTATATTGAACTTATTCCCCCTGCAGGCAGCCATCTTGGATGACATATAAGCTACAAAGTAACAACACTTGGTCAGCACCTAAAAAGAAACATTCATACTATGTTTGGTTTCAATCCATTAAGCTTTTTTTTTAGTAGAAGACATTTGTATATATTTCCCATACGGTCATTTGTTAAACTAAATCCCCCGTTAGCAGCCATCTTGGTTGATGGATTTGCTACAAAGTAACAACAATGGGTCAGCACCTCAAAAGGAACATTCATGCCATGTTTGGTTTCATTCCATTCAGTGGTTCTTCAAAATAAGACATTTGTATGTATTTCACATAGGGTCCTTTGTTAAACTAAGTTCCCCGCTGGCAGCCATCTTGGATTATTGATTGGCTTCAAAGTAACAACACTTGGTCAGCACCTCATAAGGAACATTCATGCCATGTTTGCTTTCATTCCATTCAGTGGTTCTCTAAATGAAGACATTTGTATGTATTGTCCATAGGGTCCTATGTTGAACGAAGTCCCCCTCCCCCGCTGGCGGCCATCTTGGATGATGGATCGTCTACAAAGTTACAACACATGGTCAGCATCTCATAAGGAACATTCATGCCATGTTTTATTTCATTCCATTCTGTGGTTCTCTAAAAGAAGACATTTGTATGTATTTCCCATAGGGTCCTATGTTAAACTAAGTCCCTCTCTGACGGCCATCTTGGATGATGGATCGGCTTCAAAGTAACAACACTTAGTCAATACCTCATAAGGAACATTCATGCCATGTTTGGTTTCATTCCATTTAGTGGTTCTCTAAAAAAAGACATGAGTACAATGTATGTATTGTCCATATGGTCCTATGTTAAACGAAGTCCCCCGCTGGCGGCCATCTTGGATGATTGATCGGCTACAAAGTTACAACACTTGGTCAGCACCTCATAAGGACATTCATGCCATGTTTTATATAACTCCATTCATTGGTTCTCTAAGAGAAAACATTTGTATGTATTGTCCATAGGGTCCTACATGTATGTTAAACGAAGTCCCCCGCTGGCCGCCATCTTGGATGATGGAACAACACTTGGTCAGCACCTCATAAAGAACATTCATACTATGTTTTATTTCATTCCATTCAGTGGTTCTCTAGAAGAATTTCAAAATATAAAAAGTTAACGACGACGACGACAACGGACGACGACGACAACGGACGACGACGACGGCGGACGACGGACGCCAAGTAATGAGAAAAGCTCACTTGGCCCTTCGGGCCAGTTGAGCTAAAAATCACATCGTCAAGGTAGCAGTATTCGGTAAAATCATAACCATAAGTACACACCTCATGGAACCTGGACGATCTAACCACTATGAATATTTGGCCGAGACGCCAGACGGCCTTAACGTGAATCTGGACTCCATAGTATACGGTTTCTAAGCCAGGTGTCAAGTTGGCATTACTAGACGCATAGACGTTTTAAAAAAATAATCACATTGGTGTTTTTCCATAGCCAGGATTGCCAATCTATATATATCGCCTGTAAAGTATTTGAGGAATGAACTTGGACACGTGTCCATCATCGTTTGAACTCATTGGAAACTATTGAACATATTGGAATCGCATATCTCGGGGAATGTTACAGCATGTCTCACTGAATGGAACTATAGGTTTGCATTGAAGATGTGAAACTGTAGTTTTGTAAATAGATGGAAATAAATACATGTACTTGATATCAAATTCCCCCCCCCCCCAAAAAAAAAAAAAAGTCTTGAGTATTGGAACTTTCATCCGTCTGATGATTTGTACATTGTCAGATTTTTCACATTTAAAGGGTGCCAATCATTTCTCTTTTGGTAAACAACAGCTAGATTATTATTTTAACATGTGTAGTAATTTTTCTTATTTACCTAAAGTCATTTCCTGTTTGCTTTGTCTTGCATCCTCTAAATGGACATACTTATTTGAAAACCACAACCAGAAAAATAGTTTTGGCTACATGTTTGTATATACGGGCGTCAATGAAGAGACATTGCTTGTCGAAATGCGCATCTGGTGCAATAAATTGGTACCGTTAATATTATTATCGAACATTAATCAAGAGGGTATCCCATTTTATAGACGAGAACAATACATTTGCTAAGCAACATTGAGGTTAAGTTTGTTCCTATATAATTAAGCACGTATTGTTTAATTTTATAGAACCAAAAACTGTTGGACATACTTGTGGTGTATGCGAAAGAATTGAGGACCCAACAACGTGTTCCATTATAAAAGACTGTCCACCAAATGAAGTAAGAATTCTGAACTAATTTGACGTTCATAATGTATCATGGTAAATATGTATTTTGCAGGTCACACCTGTTTCGATTTTAAGAGATGTTCTTCAAAACAGAGGCTTAGGTCAAATTGTCATTAAGAAAACACTGATTACAGTACAATTTGTAGACTATATTGAAGATGCAGTGTAGAAAATTCTCAATCATAAGATACATTAGAATTGTTCATTATATTAACTTTTGAAAAAAGCTATTACATTTTGCATATAAGTAAAAACACGAAAAAAAAAATGTTGCTAGCGAAGCATATTATAGACAGAATCAAAAAACGCAAATTTACCTAAAAGAAATATTTATAGTCGACAATGTTATAAGGTTTGCCACCTTCATGTTAAAAAAGATTAAGAAGACAAAAAAAAAAAAAACAAAAAAAAAAAAAAACGGTGTAGGGGTATATCATCGATACAGATATTGATTTTGTATTTTGTTTGTATAAATCTTTAAATTAAAGACATAAGATACCTTCATATGAAGAATCAAAACTCATAAGTCGAAGACGGATTGACAATGTCAGGGCAAAACAATGAAAAAGACGTAAAAGACAACACAAACAACAGTTTACGAAAAGCTACATAAAAGATAATTTAAAAGACAGAACATAACCAGCCCCACCAAAACCCTTAGGTAAAATCAGGTGCCTCGGAATTGAAACCAAACCCTTCTCCACATTTGGTAACCGTCATTATGTGAACATATATAGTAAGAAGAAGAACTTAAACAGACAAATATCTGAAACACGAAAAAAATACGTCTAATGAAAATGTTTAGAAAAAGGTGACTCTCTTTGTATAAAAGACAACGAGATGACATTAATCTCAAATGATCCATGTATTTTCCTTTTAATAACCAAATTACTTATCGAATGATGATTACTCTTACACGCATTTACGATAGTCCTTCTGTGCCGACATATCACAGAATGTTAACCCCCCCTTCACCCCAAAAAATAAAAATAAAATAATATCATCATTGGGCAGCAGTTGTATCACGTTATCCCTACCATAGATGTTTATCACTCTTGCAGGTTTGCGCCTCAGAATTAATTTTTGCCAATGGTAAACTTTTGAACAGACTTGGATGTGAGAGAAAAGAAGTAAGGTTGATTTTCTTCTTGTTTACCTACACAATTAAACTAAGCTTATCAACAATATGAATATCTGATGTCAAATGTGGAATATACGATGCTGGGTGGTACCGTAAGTTCGTTTTCCCAGAAGCCTGTTCATTTGACGTTATTTAATGAAATACAGGTGAGGACTTACCGGAAGAAAGAATTACCGGACGTGATGGAACATTGTACATACAAATTCTAGAAGAAAAAAAGTAGTTTTAATTCCCATAAATTGTACATACTATTCTTCAACATATTGTATTTTTAAGTAATTCAAAGGATAGTAAGTCTTATATCGTATGAAACAACTGTAAATTCTGTATGCTGCTACTCGTAAAATATTCAAAAAGATAATAAACGTTTGCCGCTAATCGTGAAATAATGTTTAATGACACAACTGACAAAGAAATAACATAATTAGTTGTACAATGACTTGCAGAGTGTACAATGAAACTATGGGCAAATGTGCAATGGACGAGATGCCAACTCAACACATTTGCAAGGCTCCTTTATTCTTTTATAATTTAATTTTGGATGTAACACGTCTTCTGATTGGCTGAAAGTGTTTTGTCTATCAGCTCATAGACATAATTTTGTCATGTGACCGTGACGTCATCAACGTTTTTTATCATGATTTACTCCTTTTTAGAATTAAATTATAAGGAATGACTGTAATATTTTTTTTCTGTCTATTCGAAATAACATAAAAAATGTGGTGCACACTTTAAATAACCCGCTACGCGAGTTATTCAGTGTGCACCACATTTTTAATGTTATTTCTTCATAGACAGAAAAAATATTACAGTCATTCCTTAAATATCATTATAAGTCAAGAACAATATTACAAGTTTATCCCGCTGATTTTTGACGTTAATGATGTTGTAAATTGTGTTGAATTTGTTTTTATATCTTATTTATATATACAAGACGTCGATGAAATTTCAGATGTTTATTCGTATGAATTAGTTATTGATTAGAAGACTTATTTTAGCATCATTGGCTATTTTTATCTATACATATATATTATATGTTATGACTTTTTGATAGATTCACGTCACGTGTAGTAAGCGAAAAGTGCATATTTATAATTGAAGCATGTTGTAGGTATGCGATCTCACCCTGAAAGGTTACAAGAAGTCAAATCCTGGAAAATATATTGGTCCTAACCGTAAAAGAGTAGATGGGGAAATAGTAATTTGTTCTTCGTGTTGCGATACACGTACCTGTAATATGGCAAATTGTAAATCATTAATTAACAGTAAGTGTAAAGTTATTGTCGCATTAAATTTACGTTTTTGGAAATATGTAAACATAGTTCATTATATTTAGTTTAAGATGACGAAGTACATGAAACTCTAAACACCAGTTTTGTATAATTTTTAATAATTTGGTTTAAAGTGCATCTTGCATGAAAAGTGTTGAGAATACAAAAGTAAATGAAAGGATCAAAGAGAGGCGAGAGATACCAAACGGATAATCAAACTCCTAAGTCGAAAACAAACTGAAAATCCCATGGCAAATCAATGGTATAACTATTAAGAATAGAAGGTTGAACTTCAAAATTTAAATACACTAAACAACTTAAAGCAGTATTCGACCTAAACTATCTTTGTCAGGAATTGCTGAAAGGAAGATAAGAAGGGTGGATATTTGCTAAGAGGTATTCATTATGTCGGAGTTCATGTAATACTTTAAAGCAAGAAGAAATGCTTTAATGGTCATAGAAATGTAAATCATGAAATAACAACCTGAATATTACCACAACAACAATAAAACCAACATAAAACGAAAACAAAATGACCTGTGCAATAGTATACAACTGTTAACACCAAATATATGAAAAGTAAAGGTGCACAAAATAAAGGAAGGCAATATATCATAAATCCCAACGATGATGATGATGATGATGATGATAACGTCCAGTGGCAAATATTATATGCATATCAGGACGAGAAAATGTTAGATTGTAACACGAATATGAACCCTGGTTTGCACCATACAGAAACGTTTGCCTGATTTCAATGTGAAGTTCATAAGGTTACAGCCCACAGGAAGACAAGTCACACTAGGGCAAGGGGTATCATTTTGACGCCGAGCCGATCAGTACTTACTCTCACCTCTAAATGCAACAAGTTTAGAAGAGAAACAGTAAATAAAACTTTTCTTTTTCGTCATGGCGTTGTCAGTTTATTTTCGACTTATGAGTTTGAACGTTCCTTTGATATTTCGCCTATCTTTTGCAAGTCTTTGATGTGACCTGGTCGAGGGCCGTTCCAACACTAAAAACTTCAAAACTTGAGGTGCTCCCGGGTTGAAAATATTTGTATAATCCCTTTTCAAAAAATAGAAATTACAAATAAAGAGCGAAAAAAGCTCCTCCTTTGTTTTAAATTTTTATGTAGAGTTTCACGTGCGAAAATTCCCAAATCAAGAAAAAACAATCATTGCTATTAATGATGAATTTAATAAAAGCAAGTTACTTGAATTATTTTATATCATCAAGGTAACGGTAAGTGTTATTGAACTTTTTATTAAATGAAATTAAGCTGGATCTTTACTGGTTTGAGTTTGGCCATAAACTGTTTTTCATGATAATACAGGAACAAGTTTGCTATTAAAGTGGCACAATTTGTGTCCTTAGGACTACCCACAACATTTCAATAAAATGTATTGCCTAAACATACAAAGATGTTATCCAGGAAAAAATGGTTCACAAGACAGGAGTCCAAAGAGGGATATGTCAACTATCTGGAGACATTATTGTAACTCCCAGTCGACAAGTGGTTGTCTTTACTTCTTAATTTCGTGTGTTTAGTGAAGAACAGTAAATATTTGGTTTGAACACCCGGGTATGGAACCCAGTATTTTCTGCACTTGTTTTGAAGCATAATTTTCTGATGATACCAACCCTAGAGGTCTTTGAAAATGCTTGTTCGAATTGTGTTACAATCGCAGTTATATAAACGGACAAGATTGTGATTAAAAAAAAATAACGATCATACATGTAGATTTGAACTCGGTGTTTTAAGAATATGAATCTAAATTACATACTAGTAGGCATATTTGTAAATTTCAAATATTCATTGTTTGTTATTCTCTTTTTTTTTTAGAACAGCCATGCTACAATACAACAGTATGTGGTTGAATAACAGCGTCACTCTACACATTTTACCAAAATGTTCATCAATTTTCTCAAATAAAGCAATTTTACATGAACACATATAATTTATAGGTATACCACACAAAACAAAAATTGAAATCAAATTTCAGTTTGTATTACTTTTATAAGGGGGATTAGTTTCTAGCATTTATTGTATAATTGCAATGAAATACTATAATCCTTAAGCTAAAGAATTGTTTTTCTTTTCGACGTTATTAAATCTTGCTCTAATTATTAGTCTTGATTCTTAGATTAGAGGGTTGCGACGACCTTTGTATAAATATGAATACTGTTGAAAATCGCTGTTACGTCTGATCTACTTGTTTGTGTGTGTACTTCATGCAGAAAACTAAAGTTAAACTTAGGTTGTTTGTCAGTTGAACCCTGAATTTTTCATTAGCTGTCAAAATTTTATAAAAAGACCCCCCCCCCCCCCCCACCAAAAAAAAAACAAAAAACAAACAAAAAAAAAAAAAAAAAAACAATTGGTCAAACGGGTTTTACTTTCTCATGATTTGATTGATTGATTACTTGATTGGTGTTTAACGCCACTTTCAACTCTGTTAGCCATTTCGTGGCGGCCAGTTTTTATTGGTTTAGGATGCCGGAGTGCCCGGAGAGAACCACCTACCTTATTCAGGAAAACTGACAATCATATTCGATAAAAATAGAAGCCGAAAGATACCACAGGTACCTTCAAACTGACAACCATGGCAAACAAAAAAAAAAAAAGAAAAAAAAAGAAGAAAAAAGACCTGCCACGTGCGGGCCTTGGACTCAAAACCTCAATGTTGACAGGCTAGTGATACAGTTGTTGAACTACTTTTACCTCTCGGCCACCAAGGCCCCCCTTATGATTTAATCTGTCAATAACATTCTTGATTTTTCAGTAGGTAGTAATCTCATAGTCCACCGTGCATTCAAGCAACTTAACTTCTTTTGTTGTTTGTTCAAACTGAAGTATAGGCGCTGTAAAGTATCCAAAAATAATTGTATTCTTGTTCCCTCTTAACCAGAAATATAAAAAAAAATAAAATTTAAATTCAAAATAATGGATGGTCTTCTATCAGCAGTCCGGTATGCATTCAGGCAAAAGTTAGATAGCGGAAAAGAGTGTTATATACAAAGAGTTGCATAGATAGGAAGGTTTAGTAAAAATTGCCAACATCATCTAAGTTAACTTAAGAGAGTAATGTTTTGTAAAAATTACGAAATAAAATCTATATACATATATAACGTTCAATAATGGCAACATCTGATTTATTCAAGTCAACTTTAATCTAAAGAAAGTAACGTTTGGTAAAAATTACGAAATATGTTGATATTGGGTTCTGAGTTCGAAAGCAAAATACTTAGCATAAGACAATATAATTTTTTATCTCTGATTTTTGGCACAAATGTCCGAAACTGAATTTTTAAAATTTGTAGTATTCATGATTATACCCGTCGATCCAATAACATTGCCGATTTTATTGAACATAAAACATAGAGGTCAAGTGCATTTAATACTCAATAATTCTAAAAGTCAACAAAATAATATCCTGTTGACCAAAAAACACTTTTTTTGATAGATCCGCGGTTGAGTCATACATGTCAAAAGACTTTAAAATTGGTATTTGCTGCTTCCCCGCTAAACACACGGCATTAAGCAACAGGAACAAAGACTGGCTGGTTCGAAACCAGAATAATGTGCCCGGGCAGGGTGTCTCCTCTGAACTGTTTGTTACATTGTGAACTAAAACTTTACAAATCTTGCTCAGCGTGTTGGTCCAAAACAGGTTTCATATTCATGTCGCATCAATCTGCTCTCGTCCTGTTACTGCATTTAATTTGCCATTAAACGTTCAATAGCCATCTATCCATACATCCATTAAAAGCCAATACATTCCAATATAGTTATGAAATAGTCTTATTTCTAATTTCTTTCAGAAAAATAGAAAAATAGCCTGTCACTTGTCAAAATTAGCTGCTGTCGGGGAACTTTGGCTTTTATATTGACCTAAAAAGGAACATTCAGAATCCTTCAAAAATATTTTCTCATTTGAAACCACTGCAGAAATAAACTTTTGGTCTCAATAATTTATAGAGAGTTTAGTTTTTTGAATATTTAATTTTGGCTGCTGGTGTGGTAATCTGTTACAATATGTGAAAAATAGTGGTCGTATGTTGTTGTTAATAATCATTCCGAAGTAATGGATATAAATAATCGAAGTGTTGACTTAACGTAATGTATTTTCTGAGAGAATAACTAACGTTTCCCAGCATGTTCGTACTGGCAAACAACAATGGCAACAATTTCTGATATACATTATTATGTGCTGAAAATCAGATGAAATGAAAAACTGATACACCATTCAAAATTCAAAGACGATTTTGTGTAAACTTATTGTCAAACTGTTCTCCATCAGAAATAAAGGTTATGACCGGAAATCTACGGAGCCCCTTAAGTGCCAAAGATGAAATTTAAAATATTTGTGCGCGCGACTTTAAATCTTGTGCGCACAACTTTAAATTTTGTGCGCACAACTTTTTTAAACTTGTGCGCACAATTATTTTAAACTTGTGCGCACAACTTTTAATCTTGTGCGCACCACTTTTAAACTTGTGTTCACAAATTTTAAACTTATGCGCACAACTTTTAATCTTGTGCGCACAACTTTTTCAAACTTGTACGCACAACTTTTGTTAACTTGAACGTACGACTTTGTAAACTGTCCACAGAACTGTCAGTCATATATGTCTATAAACTTGCTTGCATTTGCCAGTTAATCAAACAAGGATGGACCTGACTTTTACGTATTTCATTTGGGAATAAATCATAAGGATATACTGCATTTTCTGGCATTGAAGGTCTGGGATCCGAGCAGTGGAAGTCCGAAGATTGAAATAAGCTCTTATTGGAAAAAAAGCTATTAAAATCCTCTCTAGAACCAGCAATGACATGGCAGTTATATTTTGCATTAAGCATCACAGCCAGTGCCATTTCTTTACCTTTGAAGTTGTAAAATAATAATTTATCGAAACTGATTTAATCAAAATATTTTATAATGATCAAAAGCCTTCGACCTCGACCTGAAATATTAATGCCATCAATTACTTATTAATTATGGACTTTTGACGAGGTCAATTCGTTGTTATACGAACCTGTTGAAGCTATATCGACAAAGAACGTAGTCCGAGGTTGATATTTTGGTTCAGCAGGTCCATATAACAACGTTTTGGTCGAGATAAAAGTCCTTAATTTTTATATTACATATGTAAGAATAAATAATAAGCATGAAATGTCTGTGACGTTCTCTTACTGGCATATACGGGGTATTGTATGAAGAAGGCCAGTAAGTGAACATTATCATCTACGATGCTGAAATACGAAATAAATAAGAAAGTTTTGCTACTGATACAATTATTATGTCGGCTTGATATGTACTGAAATTCAGAAATCAATGCGTGCATTTATTTTTGCGATTCCTTGATAACTGACAAAAATTTGAGTTTAATATTTTTATTGCGATTTCAATAAATGTTATATAATATAGTTACTGATAAAACAAAATGAGAGTTTTTATTAATGCGACGAACATCCTGTTGCATTATTCGCATTAATAAAATCATCGCAACAATTTCTGAATTTGCAGTACTTCATCAGTATTTGCGTCCTGAACTTCTAGCATTCATCGTTAATATTTGGTTTGCTTGTCCTTCGGTACTGTCAGTTGAAGTTTAAGTACTTTTGAACGAATTGAATACCGGTACATTCCGGTTAATTTCTACTGTTTATGTTTGTGTGTGTGTGTGTGTGTGTGTGTGTGTGTTGTTTTTACATGAAACCCTCGAACAAAACTATTTTTACTCTACCGCAAATAATTTTCTTTTGTCCCAAGTCAGAAATTTGTGGTCATTGACATGTGATTGTCTCTTTATAAAAATGTTGTAGTTCCTCGACATATTTGAAGATAAAGTGTTGTGTCGGCCGATTCTTCCACTTGGTTATTTTGCTGGAGATATTCTAAGGCACGTCACATGGTAATTGGTTTCCAACTTTATTGGAGATCAAGTGTGAACTCCAGATGTCTAGTTACTTAGGGGATGAATATTGTCTCTATTGACATTACTACATACTCCTTCTTTTTCGTTTTCATTTAAAGATAAAAATGAAAAAGACATATTTTTTACCTGTCGACAACAAATTTCTGGAAAAAGGGTTTAAAGAGCCAAGAACAGTCTTTTTGGTCAACTAAACGGGGTGTCGGAAAAGTAGACATTGTATCATAGGTCAAATTTATTTGTTCAGTGTATGTTTATTGGTGTTAATATGTCCTTTGATTGAGTTAAGCTATTTCAGTTGATATTTTATAGTGTGTCTTTCTTTGTTGTGATATTGCACTGTTGTTTCATAAAAAGGGTGAAGGTTTGGTACCATTAAAACGTTTAAACCCGCTGCATTTGTTTGCACCTGTCCTAAGTCAGGAATCTGATGTTCAGTAGTTGTCGTTTGTTGATGTTGTTCATAAGTGTTTCTCGTTTCTCGTTTTTTATATAGATTAGACCGTTGGTTTTCCCGTTTGAATGATTTTACACTAGTAATTTTTGGGGCCCTTTATAGCTTACTGTTCGGTGTAAGCCAAGGCTCCGTGTTGCAGACCGTACTTTGACCTATAATGGATTACTTTTTTAAATTTTGACTTGGATGGAGAGTTGTCTCATTGGCACTCATACCACATCTTCTTATATCTATATATTGTGGACTGTCGGAATATAGCTACGCGCCCTTCTCAGCTCACAAAGCTAACCAGCACGTCATCAGGTGGCAGATAGGGGATGTCTTAAATAAGTTTGACATGTACGTTCAACAACTTCGAACCGAAAAGTAAGAACCTGCTTTTAACAATGTTGACTTTCGACCCTTTTTAGTACCCCTATTTCCAGTACGGAAGGGAACCAACCCATAGCAAAATCTGATCTGCATTTGGTACTGGTAACACTTTCCTAAACATCAAATAAATCAATCCACTGAAACTTCAAAAGGTTAGGGGCATTACAGGGCCTTTTTCGTCCCAGCATTTTACAAACATTTGAAGCTCATCTTTCCAAGGTGCTAAAGAGATATTGACCGGGCTTAAACATCAGTTATCATGAAAAGGACATAATTATGTAGATGTCTTGAAGAATCATGACTATAACTAAACATTTAAATGGAGGAATCAGATACAAATTCAATTTTTGCCTGCTTTA